CCCCGCTCTATTCGTGTTAATCCCATCCTAAGTGGCATTTAGAATCTCCACTTCCGCTTCGCTCCCCGTTGAGCTCAGGGATGTTTCTTCCAACGCCCAGAAATTTTACGCAATTTTGTCCAGTTTCGAAACTTTCGTTAAAGATCTCTCCTTCCAGGACTGCAGCTGGTTTTCTGATAGTCAGTGCGCAGTTGGCATCTTAAAAATGAGGGAGTTTAAAACATAACGTGCAATCGCTAGCGCGTCAGGTTTGGGACTTGTGCGAAACACTACGTGCCAAATGGAATTCCTCTGGATTCCCAGATTCCTCAATGTGTAAGTGGACGCAGCATTCCATTTCGTAGATCTGGACCAATGGAGAGTAGCCGATGTTATTTTCGCAGAGCTCGGAAGATGGTGCTGCACCTGTTCAGTGGACATGTTTGCCAGTCCAACCTCGGCTTGTGAAAAGTTCATTAGACTGGGGAGTGATAAAGAGTGCTGCTTCGACGCCTTCTCATCAGCGGCCTCCTCCTGGTAGAGCACCAGCTTTTGTTGGTAGGTTCCACCTCCTCATCTTATCCCTAACACCTTAGGCTAGGCTGAATTTAACCAAAGTAAGAGAATTTGGATCCACTATCTGGCCGTCTTATTTGTTTTTTTCCATTGCTTATAACTAGGAGGGATGAGTCCCAGAAATCCTGGATTCGCTGACCCTTGAGAGGGAGAGTTCGATCCCCATCTTGGCTTATTGCGGTCATCCTGAACCCCACCGTCCCGCTTCTGCTCAATTCTAGAGTCGTTCACCGGCGATCTGGTTCTTTTGTGTGACAGATCTTCCTCTTGGATGGCAGCCAAGTCAACGGTGATGTTGCCAGCTAACCAAGGAGGCAGTAGCCGAGGTCACCCAGTCCTGCCTAGACCACTCCATAGCGCTGGGGATCCTTGAAATCTATACAGGGGTCGAGAAGCAGTTCTTGGACTTCGCCGAGACCTGGGGTAGCTTCTCATTGGATATCCCCAAGCTTCGCAATCGCCAACCTCATCCATAGAGGTAAAAACCGGTCCATGGGTTACCACGTTGCATCGCTGTCCCACTTTTTCGGCGCTCTTCCTGTGATGATAT